GTACGTCGCGGACCGGATCATGAGCTCGACTCCATCCACGCCGACGATATAGACCTGTTTCCCCTTCCCGGGCTTCGAGCACTGCATCCTGTGGATCGCCCAATCGGCTCGTTGACAGACCGCGCTGCAGTAGCTGCCGCGGAGGCACGCGGCGCAGTTCTTCATTGACCGGTTCCAGATCTGACCGCACACGTCGCACGTGCGCAGCTTTCGCCTCGCGGAGACAAATTTGCGGTTCGAGGGGTTGCACGGCGCCGGCCCGAGCTGTACTTCGGGTTCGCACATGAGTTCTGGAATCTTGTGGACGAGCACCTGGTCGTCGCAGGCTGCCTGAAAGGCGTATTCTCCTTCGGCGAGCACGATGCGACCGCCGTTGCCCAAATGGATCCTCACGTTCTCGTGGAGCACATGGATTGCTAAGACTTCCTCGGAATGGCCCTGGACGTTTCCCTGAGCGTCAAGGGCTTGAGCGATTAGTGCATAAGACGAGTCGAGATAGATGGGTCCGCAGAGTCCGTATGCTAATGCCAATCGCGTGTAGCGCATCTGCGTCGGTGTAACCAAGCTTGGGTCCAATGCGGCCGCGGGGGGCGCGGAAGGGTGGTCCAATTCTAACCAACGCTTCTTCTGCAGCTCCGCTCGACATCTGTTCGACGCCACGGTACACGGCTGTTTCACCAGCTCCGCCTCGCCCAGGACGTACTGCGGAAGCTGATCGTCCGGCGCCAGAAACGTCCACATCGACCAGTCGTCGATAGAACAAGGATCCCCGCGCCGCCGAGAGAATTGTGCTCCTACCGAGGTCCGCGCGTCGAAGCCCGCGACTCTGAATGGCTCGATGTCCTCGAAGGGAGTCTCGACGCCAACCTGCGGTGGCTCCGCGGGCCGCGGAGCCTCGGCGCCCGTCTCCACGCAGGTGATGCAGCGCCGCTTCGCGGCAGAGGACCACTGCTTCTTCGAAAAGCTCGCCCGCGGAAGCAGCCGCTCGCAGGCCCGACACGCCCGAGTATCGTCGTCGGGCGCCCGCGCCCCGTCGACGGTCCGCGCGGCGATG